GTTTTGTAAAATAGGAGCCAAACAGAATTTTCTGGATACTTCCACAAACGTAGCCAGGTATGATGTAATAATTTGTAAAATCAGTTTTTTCATCAGTACTCTTCTTTACTGAATTCGATTTATTAAAATGAAATTAGACATCCCGAGCCTGATGATAAATAACTAAAACTATTTATAGATTGTTCTTTGTTATACCAGATAACATACTTACTTCTAAACATCCCGAGCCTGATGATAAATAACTAAAACTATTTATAGATTGTTCTTTGTTATACAAGATAACATACTTACTTCTAAACATCCCGAGCCTGATGATAAATAACTAAAACTATTTATAGATTGTTCTTTGTTATACCAGATAACATACTTACTTCTAAACATCCCCACAGACAGAGCTGGCTAATACTTACAGATAAATCTCTCCATAAACAGAACGACGTTGATAACGAAGAAGACGAACATATAGAAGATGTGTTGTCTGTTCTCCTCTAGATATGTGATCAGATAGTTCCACTTCTGTTGCATCCAGTTTGGCGGCTCTTCTGGCGGCTGATTGATCTGAAAACTCGTCATTCTGACAATAATTGAACCAGTAAATTAACTATAATTATGTTATAGGCTTAGAAATCAGGACAAATGATCAGCAGTTCTAAATGTTCGTAACCTAACAGATACAATGGCTAGTAACCTAACAGATACAACACAGACCGAGCTGGCTAGTAACCTAACAGATACAACACAGACCGAGCTGGCTAGTAACCTAACAGATACAACACAGACCGAGCCACAGACCGAGCTGGCTAGTAACCTAACAGATACAATGGCTAAGTAACCTAACAGATACAACACAGACCGAGCGTTACTAGCCAGCTCGGTCTGTGATGTATCTGTCAGTCTACTAGCCAGCTCGGTCTGTGATGTATCTGTCAGTCTACTAGCCAGCTCGGTCTGTGATGTATCTGTTAGGTTTACACCTGAGTGTTAACTATACAGGATGTCTCACAAAGTGGGCGCCATAAGGTGGGTGTCTGTGCACGTTTACACCCAAATGTCCACCCTTAAAATCGATATGGTACTGAAGACGTTCAGTCCAGATCAGACGTCAAAACTCACTTCCATTATGTAAAAAATCTGCAAAGGAACAAAATCGGTGTTAGTTACCTTTATGGTACGATGACAATCGACTTTTGGGACATCCTGTACTTTATAACAGAAGTCAGCCAGTATTAAATGTAATTCCTAGTCATCAACAAGACGTGGTTAGAGCGTTGGCCACCAGGGAGAAATCTTTGAAAGCATCAAATAAATAAAGTATTTTTATTATTTTCTTATTAGTTGAGTTAGTTCTTTGTATTATCATCTACACCATTATATGAAATACTTCATAACATAAACGTACGCAGTAATATTATACTGATTCCTATTTCTGGAGGTAAGTTATTTGTTTATTCACACAAAAGTGGTTCGAGACTTGCAGTGTTTATTTTACTTTCAACAGTTTATACCTATATGGCTGAACACATGGACTTGCGACACGTCATGGGTATGGGGATCGCATTCACTCGGGCCTCTGCAGCCTCCTTGTCCTTCTGCTACTCTCTACTGCTGCTGACCATGTGTCGAAACCTAATCACGAAACTTAGGGAACTGCCCATCCATCAGTACATTCCACTAGATTCTCACGTTCAGTTCCACAAGATCGTCGCCATGACAGCCTTGTTCTTTACACGTAAATATCTTGCATTGATAAGGAAGCTGTAATAAATATCAACTATAAAGTATTTTTTTTACATCTTTAAGTCCTAGTGTTTCCTAAGTAAACTCAATTATTTACTTATTTTTACTTGTATTAATAATTGAATATACTTGTTAGTATATCTAATGTTTTTATTTTGATATATTGTTTACTATAAAGAATTTTTTGCATTGTTAGCGTAATATGTGTATCTAGAACTAACCTAAATCTCCTAAGCTGGCCGAGCCTCGTGATTCATTATTAGGATTACGGCCGAAAATGTCGTTAAGAGCGAGGGTACCCAACTGATAAAGAATGCATTCTAATCTTTATAAATAGAAACGTAAGTAGATTATATCTACTTAATTATACTGATTTCTAGGTTTATTTTTAGTAGATCGCTTGTTCTGATCGAAAAATTATTAAATTGGTTGGGTCAGATCTCGGTTTGGAATATAAACCTTCACATGATAGTTTATTGACGCCATGATTGCATTCCCTCCTTTTTTCTTTCCAATTAAAATTTTTTACATTTTCATCAACTTTAGTTATTATAGGACTTTGTTGTACTGCAGGCCCTTTATAACACTTTAGTTACTGTAGGACTTTGTTGTTCTGCAGGGCCTTTATAACACTTTAATTACTGTAGGACTTTGTTGTTCTGCAGGGCCTTTATAACACTTTAATTACTGTAGGACTTTGTTGTTCTGCAGGGCCTTTATAACACTTTAGTTACTGTAGGACTTTGTTGTTCTGCAGGCCCTTTATAACACTTTAGTTACTGTAGGACTTTGTTGTTCTGCAGGCCCTTTATAACACTTTA